CCGTACTAGCAGATATCACTGCTGTTTTCATAGCTTTTCGGATATCATTCCAAGCTGCCTCGGCGTAAGCATCACTTATATGGCTAACTGTTTTTCTAATAGTTCTTGAAATATATTCTTAGCTTGGCTATCATTAAGTAGAGCCTTGAGAAGTTTCCCTGCAGCGTCTTTCCTACGTCCAATGAGACAGATATGGCATGGGTGACTTCGTCCTACACCGCTATTAAAGCCTCAGATATTCCGGAGGGATATAAGTTCGAAACTTCTAAAAGCCCCCAACTTCGCATGTATCTATTTTCGGCCATCAGTTGTATGTTGCAACGCTACCTCCATAAAGTGCTCCAAGTGTGATATTGATATGTTTCTTACGAAATCCATTTACATTCATATCTTATGAAATATCAACCCAGCTGAGTAATTTTCAACAGTGAAAATTGTAACTTCTTTAACAATTTGATCTTGCCTGTAAACCGGCATGCCTCATGTGACAATCTGTTATTTGAGAATAAGTTATTATTATCATTATTATTATTATTATAAGACAGACAAATACGCGCTTGCGCTAGGGTATGATGTGAATTTAAGCACGTGCTCCAGAACGAGAAACACTCTTCTATCGAGCAACCTCTATCGGTGGTTGATGGCGATGTGGTCTATTTAGGTCCACTGTTGGGACGGATTCGGGGGGCATCACGTCAAAATGTGTTTCCCTTGTGCTTAAAGTTAGTATTTGCTTAAAACAGGAGGTTATCTGATCATAGCTGCAATAGATGGTCGCCATTATCTGTTCTTTGAGCTACAACATCATAAGATCCACCCAGGTGTCTTTCCTTTACTCTTAGTTTACCTACTTCAGCAATAAAGCCACCAGTCACTATTATTACATTGGAGTGCCTAAGTTTTCGATGAAAGCCGAAAAGCTTTATGTAAAACTCACCTTTTACATCATCTGAGCTGCAGTCAGTGGGAGAGTAGGCGGAAACGACGAAGAGGCAACGGTGAGTGTCCCTACCTTTCCGAGACCTTACTATTCCGTTTAGTCAGACAGTGCACAAACGACTATCTACTGGGATCCAGTCCGAAAGAGCTATTTCCACCCTGAGCCTCAATGTTATACCCACGCCAGCGAGGCCACGGGAAGCAGCATCAGGGCTTCCAGATAAACGAAGTGTTAATCGAGATGGTTCTTTATTTTGACATAGTGAGGTCAAATGAATGAAACTACTCAGATCCTGTACGTGTGTTTCGGAGACGCAGCACACATCAATGGTGCGGGGTTGTAAAGTCCTAGCTGAAGAAGTCTGTTGTCCCATTTGGAACAATGTTCGGACGGTTAAAGCTCCTACATGTAGTTTAGAGCGTGGTTTCAGGAGACTGGGAATAATGTTACGCCTACTGGAATCGTTTACATTAGTGGTGAGAGGTGATAAAAGGACGCGAGAAGGGTTAGTCGTGAAGATATAAGAGTTATTAGGGGATGTGGGAGGGATTTGATTGTAACAAACTTGGTCTCGTTCGTTGTTACGGGTATGAGGGATGATATCACTTCCCGGCTGCCAACACCGTAGAAAGGTATTTCTCGAGGGACCTGAAAAGGAAGTTTGATTCATGTTGATCTTAACAAACTGGGAGCGTGACCACAGAGCACAAGAGATAACTGCTTGAGGCCGGCGGCGCACTGCCATTTTGTGGGACGTTCTTAACGTGTTAGCTCCGTCCTTCGAAAGGCCTTACTGCAGGAGACCGAAATCCCTGAATTAAGGTGAGGTATGATATTTTTTGGGTCTACCTTTTCTAATCTCTTCCTTCCTTTTGAGAGGGCAGCTTCTCTGCAGATGCTGGTTTTCCGAGGGAAACACCATACTGCTGTCATACCCGTCTGCAGTCAGCAGCACAAGTTCGCCCTTATACCTTAGTTTGCTGCTTTTGGTTTTACCGTTCTCCAATCAACTTACCCGGCGTGTAGAATCTAGAGAAACATATGTTCCAACCAATTTAGCTCGGTTGGATCATCACGATAAGCAAGGTCGACCACCACGTCGAGGTAGCAGTACGGTTGGGACTGTCTTCATGAATACAATGGATGTTAATAATCTGAGAACTGAATGAGAAAACATTGTTTTTGTATGCTCTAAATCCAGTCAAGTTGAACTTCGAAAACTTAGTTTTCAGGGCTGGAGGAACATCACTGAACCCTAGTAAAGTTATCTTTTAAGCTAAAATACTTTTAAGTTAAAGAAAAGATCGCTGGATGATGAGTTGTTCACCGAATGCCCTTATGTTTAAGTACAACCTACATGAACTTAACAACGATGTATTCAGAAGTTAGTCACTGCTGTATAAAATGGATGAATAGACAATAAATCTGACGGATAAATTTACACACACAGGCATACATAAAACTCGCTTGACGTTAAGGTCTAACTAGTTTTATGCCCGCATTGCCCATTTCACATTTTCAAAAAAGAGAGAACATTATAGTTTTCTCGATACAAAGTAAGAAAACACAAAAGACTGCCACGAGTTAAAGTTTATTCACTTCAAGACATAACTGCGGTCCTGGTCGGAAAAAACGTCCACATACAAACTGACTTATCTACACATTTGACTGTCATCTAACAAAAAGTCAAACAAACAAAAAACCCTCAGAATTATGGCAAATCAAACGCTTCTTGTCCAGATGGACAAAGTTCACACAAATTTAATATGATGAATATCACATATTGAATAAACGTCACATCCAAAAAAATCAATTGATTCATCATTTAATCAATTAGTCAGTCAAACCATGAGACAGCGTGTAAAATCTTGACGAAAAAATGTTTTCGATTTTATACAGGAAAGACAGTACACATCTACGTAAGCATTCTACATTTAAAAAAATTTTTTGCGATAGTATCAACAAATTGTGAGACGAGAAAAACGAGACAGAACAAATCTTATACGATGCCCGACGTGCAGTAGTCGTTCAAGTGTTCTAGAAACCTCACAATTCTTTTAGACCGCATTGTTTCGGGCTGGTTTTCAGATGATAGCAAAGTTTATACGTATTTGTTGATAATTGGTGAGGAAACCGTGGTTTGAAAGACTTGTATTGTTCGATTATTCGAGAGGGAAATCAACATGACTATGGTTTCCTCCTGAATAAGCGGGTTTAAGACGGTTGACGCTGACGTTATCTATATTGCCGTTACTATTGATGGCGAAGTACTCAGGTTTGTGATTGAGTATTCTAAAGAGTCCTTAGTATGCAGATTCTAGTGGTGAATGTAATGAATTGCGTTTTGTAACAACGTGTGTACTGAGTCGTGAGGTGAGTTTGACAAAAACATCCGTTGAGTGAGGTCGAGCAGAAGTGATAGTTGAAGGACAACTAAAGTTTGCTACCCCTCGTTCGGCGAAGGCGTGTACCTCTTTTTCAGTGGTAATGTCCTTGTTAAGTAGTGCTTCTGGCCATCGAACGAAACGGTCTACACAAGTTAAGAGGTAAAATTATCTATTTGAATCTGGTATGGGTCCTACCAAATCCAGATGGACATGGTCGAAGAGACCGTCGGGAGTTTTGGATGAGCCTAAGGAACATTTGTTGTATCCAATTATCCTAGGTTTCTAGCACCTTACATAAGAGCATGCACATTCCCTAACATCTTTTTTCATACCAGACCATCAAAATCCTTTTGTTATGAGCTTGATGGTTGCACGGACTTGTGGATGAGAAAGCTTGTGTAACGCAATGAAGACGTTGTGCCTATAATGCTTCGGCACGATTAGACGATCCCTACCCGTGGATGTCACATAATAAACTTTCCTTAACTATTCCCATCTGTTTAATACGCAGTTTCAGGGTTGTCGAAGATAGCGCGGGAGAAATTGGAGTCTTGCCTAGTTACAATTGATTCTTGAACAATCACTGTCTACTTTTCTTTGGGATTCCATCATAAACCTCTGGCTGTATTTATCCACAATCTGCCGTTTGTGAATTCAATGGCTCTGTACAAACTGTAAATACTGTTTGCTTCGTCTTAGAAATGAAACTGTTGTGTTATTATCGAAGCTGTTTGAACCATCTAGCTTTCTTCGAGTTCATTATCTGTAAATATCCTTAACAATGTACCGCGTACTTCGTAAATAGTTGAGCTCACCTGTATGATTTTGTCTTCTTATGAACGCTAGAAAGATATTTAGAGCAACTGAAATATCACGAGAGCCTAGTAACATCACCTGGTATTCAGGCCACTGAATGCTGGGCAGCTTACCGATCCTCTTAACGGTCAAGAACAACCAACTTACACCAGTTAATTGTGCGCGATGGACTGGCATCTGCTATGGTGGTTGCACTCCATCTGTTAAATCTAACCTTATATATTTCTGTATTAAATTCGTTTATGTTGTACGGTCGCCAACGTAGTCATAGTATCTAGGTACAACGAAAGGGTAATCCGCGTTAGGTGATCTACATATATGGTGGCTGGAATACTGGCATTCACAAACATTCGACAATTTCACTCACAAGTGCATGTACCTACTTCTAAATGTCTCCCATAGTCGACCATGAACACCCAATCAGTGTTTTCGAGTTCGAAATAGGTATGATTTATATTTTACAGTTCCAGTAAAAGTTTCTTCCATACGAAGAGAGTAATTTGGTTGACCAAAGGAACCTACTGACTATTAACAGGACTTCAGTAGTTCTCATTTCCGATGTTATGGGGTTCCATCTCATATTAGGTTGTTTTTTGAACGTGACCATATTTTCAACCAAAGCGGTCGTACTCAGCTGTGCAGTTGGTTTCCAAGATCATGTTACGGAGCAACAATCAAGCTAAAGTGCAGGCTACGAAGGTAAAAATGGCCAGGTAATGTTCTTTGGAATGATTCTGTGATTTCGTTGCAGTAGCAGACTACTGAAATATGAGAAAACCTTAAAGTCATGTAATACAACAGGAACCCAATCGACTCAGCATTCCTAGTACGGAATGGTTGCCACATAGGCCATTTTCAAGGTTGTTAAAACGAAACGGCGGGCGGATCGAAACTGTTGACAGGATGTTCAGCCCGCCTCATTTCATAAAATAGATCAGCAAGTCCTTTTACTTTTCTCGCCTGTAGCCATATGGTGACCCTTTCAAAGCCATTCGCTTTATATTTGAAACGATTTAGACTATTTGTCTTTGAAGACTTGTCAAACGAAACCCAACTACAAATGTGTGTACACACACAGTGGATGTCATTTTCAAAATATTCCATTTAAATTGCGAAATAATCTCAGCATAACTCGTAAAACCGAAAGGTTTGATGGCTTCGGTTGTCTCGTCATTTCTGAGATTCATAAGTTTTTACAATCAGTAACCTGGGTTAGCTTAAGCCATTACATTTATTGTTTAGTCATCTAAGTCGTCTTGATTAACGGTTTGCAATACTGCATCATCATAAGGACTCATTTTTCACGTTCATCGATTTATCTGTTTAATAGTTGGTTGAAACCTACATGTAGTTTCGTCTTATTGCCGACTCATGTGGGTTTTCAAACTTTCGTCTTATCCACTAGTAATAGGATCAACGAATTTACTACGTTGAATGGCTCGGTTACGCAAAGCATAAACGGGAGGAGATTCACAAATGGTCTTTTAAGGAATACAACTCTTCATATATTCTTAAAATGACAGTACACTGTCCATTCGTACATTTTACCAATTCCAAAACTTAAGTTTAAACGACACTCTTACTTTAACACTCAGCAGAGGGACCTCACAAAGGTCTCTAGTGAGGTCTACGAAGCTTATGTCTACTACACTAGTGTCTTTTTCTATAAGGAGACTGGTCAAAGATTTCGAATCTGCCTTAAGGCCTTGTTATCCCCTCACTAGAAGAATATTCCCTACAACTCGACGTGAAATAACAGCCTGAATAAATTCTTCCACTTATCTGACCACTATACTAGTAAGTTTAACAAGGAGATATTTATTAACTAAATGTTTATCCTGATTTATAAATCTAACTAATCGTACCATCCTTCCAGTATCTTAGTAGTTCTGACTGCTTCAAAGACTTCCCCAGTGGTCCAACAGTTTCCATTCAAGTTTGGACATTGTTAGGATCACGCGACTTATTTGGTTTCAGGTATTTTAGCTGTCTTAGGACAACTTAATAATCACGGTATTCATCAACGTTGAGACATTATTAAAACCAACAACTAGTCACCTATCGTCCACTATGAAAATTACGGTGAGATGACAGTAATAAGTATAACTGTCTCATTACATTTATTGGCACCTCTACGTGTACTGTGACGCACCTTGCGGGATTTAGTGGACTTATTTTGAAACCCTGACTACCAAAATCAACAACCTATAATACAGTCTAAACAGTTATTTACAAGTACATAAAAAATGAACAGTTTCTTTACAAACGGAAGAAGTATACAAACTGTGCAAAGTGAGCATTTGGACCAATGGGAAGTAAATAGTACTCTACATCCTTAGTTTTTAGACTTCCCTGTATTATTTGCCATCGTGATGCTTTCTGACTGACACTGTCGCATGTTCATATTCGTGATACTAGTGTTCTACGTAGACGAGCGATATTTTTAACAGCATTTTGTTCCCATTATTGAAGAAAATATTGGTACCAAAATCACCATTTTCAATTAATTTACAGAGATAGTTGCAAATAGTTATAACTTTAAAAATTTGTAGGCTTTAGCGGATATTTCTTATTTTCTATGTTCACATAACATGATTGGTCTAACCATGAATAATGGCTTGTTTCTTAATAATAAAATAGATTTATTCATAATTATAAATTTTGTTACAGTAAGGATTCTCACTATCAGCTGTACAGTATTACAATATATTTATTTAGTATCCTCTATTCATCTTCAGTGGCGAAATTGTTCTACCAGTTTGGATATTGCAACCACTATTTCCATCTATCAGATACTGCATGAATGAACTGCAATATAGTTTTTCTCTCGTTTTTCTTCAGAGGAGAATCGGGAGAAAGAATTCACTACAAAGTAGTGTTTCGGTATAAAATTTCCAGTATTTAGCACCGTGATAGGTTGTAAGTCTTTCATAATAATGTGTGAATGAAAATAGTTAGGATTGATAATTATTCAGTTCAAAGAACTGTAAAACAGTAAGGTTTATGAACATATTAATAGGATCGGAAGATAGGTGACCTCAAAGCTTGAACAGGTCATTGGATTATTAGAAAATCGGAAAGTACATACTGCTTGTGGGGTTTTTGGAAACACTCATATCTTACCATTTCTCTTCTAATGTATTACCTTTGTTTATAGCAGATCCAATATTCCAGCTTCTGCCAGTCTAATTACTTATCATTTTATCGCTGAAAGTGTACCATATCCTCGTTATGTATGTTTTGGCTTTTTTTTTAAATAAATAGTTCTGTAAAACCCTTATTAATAAATCATAACTTCTCCAGTTAAATGTTATAAATACCCGTAATTTCTAACTTATCAGCTTTATAGACCATCAGTTATTTGTCTTGTAATTTTATTTTTTGGTGATATTGCTCATGATCCGTTATCCAATTTTATTAGTTTAGGTATCACATTTTAGTGAGCATTTCAGACTCGTCCTGACTGGTCACATTGCTGCTAATTGTCTCTCAATTTTTCCTCTTACTGTTCCTCAAAAACGGTTTGGCGCTTCGTCATGTAGTTTGATTGAATTTGTACACAACTGTCATGTATTTTGATCTGATTCAAGCATTTCTTTATGGTCTGTTAGTTGTCATACCTCCTGTACTTTCATCTGTAGGAGATCAGACTCTTGTGTTTCATGAATGCAATCAGAAGTGCATAGAAGAAATATGTGAATCTTCTTTGTCAAATAGACATAATTACTGGGATAAACACTTTAATTCCTCTCGAGTTGTAATTTTCGAGAACTCAATTCTTTGGGATTGCGAGTCAGAGTGTAAATATCGCTGCATGTGGGATACTGTTTCTGCACTTGAAAAAGATGGTTGGCCTGTCCCTCAATTTAACGGAAAGGTGAGTTAATGATCTTTCCATAATGATATTACTAGTGGCCGTTCATTCGTCTCTGTGGTATACAAGAACCAGCATCTGCCATATTTTCCTTCCTAAACTTTGTGTTTAATTGTCACATGTTCAATCAGTTCTACAGATATGTTCCATACTATACTCCTATGTATAAAACTTGGGTTATGCAAATTATCGTAAGTTTTTAAACACTAATTCTATATTCCAGTTTTCTATGAACGCATGGGTTTGGTCAACAATATTTCACACAAGGGACACATCGTTTACTGAAGCAAGTTCATTTTTAAAATTAACATGTACCTTTACAGAAAATGGATTATTTTAGTGCACTTGCATTCGTTATTGCATCTGTTATGGTTCTACATCGGAGAATTTTCAATCCAAATCGACTTTTTACTATCCTGTTTTCTGCTCTTTTATTAGCCTTTTTTGTGAACCACGTAAATTACATGACTTTCGTTAATTTTGATTATGGCTACAACTTAACTGTCAACATTTCATTCGGTAAGTTTATTTTAAATAAAGTATCTCATGATTCATACACTGTAATTCTTGCTTTATCCCAGGTATTCTAGCTAGGCTAGTTACTATACATAAGTTAATGACCCCCCTATCGACAGATTATTTGATTGTTTGATAGTGTAGTTTTAAGCCTACAAGTGATTGTTTAAAATATGAAGGAAGAATTCAACTTAGTGAAAATAAGGTGACGAGCAACAGAATACTGGAGAAATGAAATTAGTGTAGTACCACTTTGCACTCTTGATCAGCTTACGACTGATTAATTGCTGAGGTGACAAGGAAAGTAATACGTAAATCCACATTGTCATACCTATTAGTACCCTAGTAAGTTGAAAACCGCGAGGATGGAAGAAATTTGAGTATTTTCTAAAACATGATAATTGTGGTATGTGTGTGACATTTCAGGTACATTGGAGAGCACTTAAAATATACTTTAGGCTTGTGATTCCATTTTCTAGTAATCATCATATATGAGCTGTATCTGTCCGAATTCCCTAATAATAAAATTTACAGAAAACTACTGTCATAGATGGTCTCCCAATACGAACATTCTATTGAGCGACTAGCCCTTAACATCACTCATCTCAATATAAATTTATTCAAATTTAATGTAGCTAGTAACTAGTTCGTTAAATCTAAATTTGACCAGTGTTCTTCCTCGACTTCAGTTATCATATGTACAAAGACCTGATGAGCAATAAAATATAGTAATGATGGTGGTGGTCTACCGTTTAAAGCGTGCAGTTTTCAACTAGTAGGTATTCAAGCAAAATCATGTTCTCAGCATCTTAGTTTGGGGAATCGGGTAGTTTCAATAGCTCAGATCGAAAGTGCGACTAAAGATTGAGCACATTGTCATGTAAATGAGTTACAGTAACGTTATCAAAGATATAAAAGTGGTACTCCTAAGTAGGGTATATTCGATTCCTATAATCTATAATGCACATATTTATTCTTCTTAACATTATGATAATTAGTCACTTTTTTAATTCAACAGGTCTAATAAATTGTTTTGGCTGGTTATTCTTCTGCGTTTACTTTTGTGACTATAAAAGACAACCATATATTATCTATTGTTGGTTAGCAGTTACATCCTCTATGGTTTTTATGCTGCTAGAATTATGCGATTTTGTACCAATTGGTTGGATATTTGATTCACATGCCTTATGGCATGCTTCTTCCTTATTAATAATTATTCCTTGGTACAAGTGAGTGTAATTTATAAAGTAACGACTTCTACAGAATTAAATACTTCATTCAAGGATAGGCATTTTCAATCACGAAAAGATTTAATTTGGTCCACTTGTTTCGTGTTAGTTTAGAACTTTAGATTGGCCAATCAATCGTATTTAACATGTAATAGTTGTACAGTTGTTACTACTTCATGATATCTATGAATGGCTTTGTAGATTTCTCTTGCTTCTTTGTATTGTATCATCTTTTAAGCATAAAATTAGGCGTCACGTTTACGGCCATTAAATTGAACTATGGGGATATCACGTGTGATCGTTTTGTTAAGATTTCGTATACTTTAATGGTAATTTTTTATTGCAGATTGATATTGTCTAGGAAGCCACTAATAAGCAAGGGGTACTGAGAGACCATTTTGTTCTACTTTGGGTTTCTTCAAAAGTGTCTATCTGCTGATTTACACGGCTTAAACCTAGGGCTCACCAGGTTTTGCGAGTAAAATTCTAAGTAAGTGGTTATATGAAATCCCACCTACACTCCATCCACTTTGTGACATTACAGTCCTCATTCATTCTTATCTGTGCCTCACTATCTCCTGAATTTATTGACTCCATGGCTTCCCAGTACTAAAAACACGTAGACTTAAGGATACTAAAACTGTAACTATTTTGTAGTAATCAAAATTTCCCGTGTTCTTGACCGATGGCAAGTAGTGGCACACCACCAGCCAGTAATTGATCAGTTCAAGTTTTTTAGAACAATTATTACTTTTTTTACCGATTCGCGAATCCATTCTCTCCGTGTTGATTATTTCCGCTCGGTTAGTGATATTCAAAGCCGTTGGAAATTCATCTGTGAAACGATGAAGTGCACTCGACTATTAGTAAAGATACACTCCCCCATAATTCCAGTTTGAGTACATTTTCATTCTATCAAATCAATTATCTTACTAAAACCCTCCTCCGTTTCATCCTTCATAGATGATTAGATACTTGTAGGATTCTTATTCCCATTACTGTTAAGTTACGCTACTTGCTGTTGGATATGTAATCATGATGTTCAGACTTCTGTTAATATACTGGTAATTAATCTGTGGAAGTACACTCTATTGTTCATTAGTTATCAAAAGTAACGCGTTTTTCAATGCTGTGTCTCGAAGCAACTATTCTGCGATATATTTTCACTTACAACAGTTGTCATCCAACCAACAGATATGTTTGTAACCCACTTCACCCACTTTAATTAGTGTATTTAGATAGCAAAAGTAACTATCATAATAGACACATGGTCTCACATTTTGATTGCGGAGTTAAATTTCAATCAGATTTGACCACTATATCTGTTTAATAATCACTATCTTAACTCAGTGGTTGTAATAGATTTCAAGGTTTTTGAAAGTTTTTCAGTTGGAAAAATTTAATTTTTGGATTGTCACAACACAGTTATCGTGTAATTGAAAACTAAAAATCGATTATTGAAAAATTTGTTTGGCTAAACGTTTCGGAGTCGAATTAAATGAATTGATATAACCAATCTAATAACAGAGATCTGTAAATCACTAATTTTGAAAATGCGTTAATAATATGTGCATCAATGACTGATCATGTCATCAATACCTTGATTTTTGGTAAAAATCGTACCCGTTGTATGAAGTTAGATGAATTAAAACCACCGAAAAAGCATAAAAGTACTCAAGCTTACAGACATGGCAATGTTTATATGTGTAGTCTCGTAAGTACGGAAATGTAGTTTGGAACTTTTTGTTAATTTTTTTTTCAGTCCTTGTAGAAATTGATGAAGATACCCTTGTTATTAGTTGCATTATTATTATTATCTCGTTTCATTATCACTTCAGATTTATTATTGGTGATTGTCTTTATCTATTGGGACAAGCTCCTTCAAAAAGTAGACCGAAATTCAACCATTTGTCTGTTTAAGAAATTAGTATAAATAGTGAGCCATGCTGTGATTCTCTAACATTTTTCCGATTACTTTGCGTTTATTTTTGTTTTGTGGTTCATTTATACTATGATTTTTTTATTTCAAGTATCGTAATTACTTTGTTATGACCATTTGTCATTTTAGTCCAGTTAAAGGTTAACTACGCCTTTTAATCAAATGTACAGCTTGATAATAAATTTGTTGCGTTGTTTATCCTGCAAATCTTTTTATTTTTTAGACCCAGGGAAAGTAATATTGTAAAATTCATTAATATTGTCTAATATAATTACACATGTTATCCAACTATGTTACGTTGATCATATTACGTCGCAACTCATTTACCATCTACATGTTTGCGCACTCGTGTTTGTGTCACACTGTTAATTGAGTGCTTGGGCCCGTGGTAACCGGACTGATGGGGTTGTGCGTATTGATAGCACACTGAAGTGTTCTGTTTCAAGTTTTACAAATCCTAATGCTAACCATTTAGTAAGTGAGATGAGTGATATTTACAAGCTAACCTAATGGTTAAAATGTTTTTGGATATTAGGTTATCTATCCAGAGACATGAAAAGTGAAATCGTAACCAGCCAGTGAAAAATAGTGTAGTTCCATCGGGTTTTGTTAAAAATACTCCACTTTGTTCAGTGGTTTATACATGTGTACTATTTAATCACATTAATTTGTCAACATGTTACAGTTTCTGTTGAAAAGTCATCAGACCCATGTGGTCTTTGTTATGACTTGACCTAGCCGTCGCCAATTGTTATATCTTGATCAAGGTCGTCGCTAATTTGTTATGACCTTACGAATTAAACAAGAACGTAACTTGCGTGAATTATCCGCCAATAGAAATACGACTTCTACGATTTTCACACTGACAATGACGTTCGATTAGTATGAGTAATCTAGCGTCCTTATTGGTCCTTAATCCGCCTAGCCCGTCCACTTGAGTCCAGAACATCAATAGCAGCCTCGGCAATATGAATCGTTTATTTCAAGCATACTTTGTTTATCTATCAGACAGACAGACCACACCACACTATAAAATAGAAAGTAATATTTGTACAAAACCAAGCCAAATGAGGCTGTAAGCGTGGGAGACAATAATCAATAAACTGAGTATAACTTGGGAATAGTAAATCATATATTAATAATCAATAGGTCAAAATGAAGCTTGTAATGAAATGAATATAGATATAGATAATCTAGTTACTGAATAGTTATACAATAGGAATATACATAGAATAATAGTCCAACAATAGGTCCCGTAAGTTATCCGTACTTCTTCCCTAGTATATAACAGTCTTAAGTACTTAAAACTATGTTAATTGGTACAGACCATAGATTACTCATCAATATTGAATAGACTAATCCACAACTACTTATTAGCTGTGAATTTGAAGTAATATAACTAAGTAGTGTAAACGAAGGCAGGATAGTTGTGTTTATTGTGAGAGGTTACGAAGCATTTACATGATACATATACATGGCCTCCTATTATCTCATCTTTCGGTGTGTTCTGTAATCCGAACTGGATTGTTCGGTCTCCACATGTTATTGCCGATGCCGTGCTTTCTAGGTAGTGGAACTCTGACAACTGCAACTGTAATGCCATGTTCCGCTACATACTACGTATAACTGGTTTTGTGAGCAATACCCTACTACTATATGGAACTAGTCCCAATAGGTCTAGAACTTCAACAAGACCTAATCTAGAACTCGAAGTATGCAGCATGAAGCTGTACTGCATTATTGTGATCGTTTTAAATGCAAAATACTTTACTGTATGATGGATGTATTGGCTTTTCCGTTATTAGCACAATAAAGATATGTCTTAATCTTCACCTAGTCATTCCGTGTCATCTAACAAGACTCAGTTATCTAAATACTGGTCTGTTTATCATCAGATATTAAATAGCCTAGTATCATTCACTGGGAGGAAAATGTACATAAGTTTTGGCAATGAAATAAGCCGAATTGAGGAGACGTGACTATATCACTTTATGGTTGGTTTAGCTTCCCGGCAAAACTGCTTTCCGCTGATAAGCTTTACGGCATTATTCCAAATATTCACTCGCTTTTATCTCATGTTGCTGAAGATTTGTCGACTGTAAATGAATTCCTGTCTTTTCTCAATGCGATAGAAGGGTCACCTTAACGTAGCTGTGGCGGCCGTCATGTGCCATCAATTTTGATATACAGATAAGCACAGTCATCAAACGTGATCATGGGTGTCTCAAGTCTCAGTGCTTGAGGGTAAATCTGTTTAAATTATGTGTATTGTTTGAGTTGTTACAAGTAGTTGACTATTCACAGTTAGAATATTCATGCGATTAAAATGTTCAGCCAGCTAACGTTATATTTTTCTGTAAAACAACTCAGCAGTGTTAGCTTCAAGCATTGCTAAGGGAAGTTTCTAAAGCAACATTAGATTGGACAGAATAAGATAATCATGATACTCAAGCGCCTTCTAACGAACTAACCCAAAGACAAGGAAGACCATAGTTGAGAAGGGAGGTGTGTTTAGTTGTTTTTATAGATAAATGAACATGACACTGGCTATATATCAGGGTAAAATTGTCTCACATCAAGTCACACTGTAGTCTTCTGGTGGTATTTAACCGAGCACCCTGAACTAATTGTACTCCTCAAAACCAGGGTCGGTGTTTGATGCTTACTGAACTAGTTATTTCAGAGGGGCAAGTGTTATCGTCACACTTCTTATTTCCCTTGGAGTCACTACCAATTGATGTCATACTAACTTCGAGTGGACAACTGTATCTTTTGAGATCCATTTGTGGCGGAATGATAGGCAATAGTGTCTATTTATTTTAGGCCAGGTACTACTGTAAGTTCTCGAAATGATTGACTTTCGAGATTAGAATCACTGTAGATCAAGGGTGGTGTATGACGAAATCTCAGCACGGATTCAAAAAGCTCGTTTGACTTTTGCCAACTTACGTCACTTATGGCAAAGGCCAGATATCCGTCTATCAATTAAGTGACGAGTACAGAATAGAATTTCGCTCTGTTCTACTTTACGGTTGTGAAACATGGCCATTAAGAGTAAAATATACTCGTAAGTAGCTAATATTTGACCACGGATGTCTTAGAAATATTGCTCGCATCTGCTGGAACAGTGTTTCCAGGTGAGGTGTATTGATTGGACTAATATTCAGTATGTAACACCGTATGCAGCTTCTCATCAAATATCTTAAGTTTCAGATCAAACTTAATAACAAAGCATTCTTGATAATCAATTTTTAAGTGACACCTAATCTGGGTGTGGAAATGTGGAATTTTCGAAAAATCGTGCATCTTATAGAGCTAGCAAGTGTAGCTTTCCATGTGAAGGGTCACACATTAGTCTGTAGTGAACTGTAACTAGTCTTTCAGTTTGATTAGAACAAATGATTTCTTCTATGACCAATAATATCGCCTAGAGGAGTTAGTTCAGATTTTGAAACCCCCACATTTCTAAGCATTGAATGTAGGAGCAGAAGATTCCCCAAAATAAATAGTTTCATAAGTCCGACATTGATGCTGATTTCATTAGTCATTAGTGGCCCAAAATCTGAGTCGAATGATTGCTGTCGAAATATACATCCTGACTGCCCTCGGATATAATCATGTAGTGACCTGCTTTTCTCGACGAGAACGCGATCGGTATAATGGAAACAATTATTATTTTAACCAATTGCATTAGTGATGGTTTAACTGTTTTACTGTATCAAAATCACTTTTCGTTCGTTCGAAATTTCTTGGGCTCTGCCTTTTTGCCTGTACTCGTTGGCACGTCTCTGTATTTTTTCGATACCACGAGATCGCAAATAAATATACTTTAACTGGACCAGTTACACCCTTCTGGTTTAGGAGCTATCAAAGGAACGAAGTCGATTTCGGGCTCGTAATCTTACTGTAGTGGTGATCATAGTCAATCGAGACTCGATGCCATCTATAATCATCGACTTAAATCACGTTAGTGAGTAAAGGAATTAAATAAGCCAGATGAACACGAACGAATGTATTGTATTTGAAATTCATAATCAAGCAGTCATCAATACAAGTAAACAATTGATTCATATAATCACCACATTCGCCACAGCTTAAATGGGGATCCAGATTTCCGCGATCAGTCGTACTTCTTTATAATTTCATCACGTGTCTTTCCGAATGTGTAATAGATGTAGACTCCGTACGATCTGATTTCTGGAATTGGATACAATCATCCTGTCGGTTGTGCAGTGAAACCACCGACATCTAGAATTTGCATCATAGACTTTCCAACTATATCCTCCCCCACGAAATAGTTTGGGGTCCTTATATCACAATGTTATAACCAATTCCACGTTCCTAATTCGCATTATCTTCTTATACCTCACACTGCCGTTATTATATGTGAGTATCTGGGTGTAAGCACTTATAGCAACCATCCTACAATCAATTTCGACTGTGGTCAATTTTGGTTAGGCCCTTTTTATAAACTTACTTAACAGACATCGTCATTTGTATAGTAACAATCTGCATATTCTTTGCACTGCTATACCACTAGAGCACATGACGCTCTATCCAAAATGTTGACTACTTAAATATCATTCGATGACTCATACTCCTCACCCTTATATGTATGCACGCAAATATTATTATCAGCCTTTGTTTTGCTTTGCTGTGCCCTTATTAAATCTGACTATAAATTACCTATGTAATTGCTTGCTATTCGCTCGCTTGCTGTTCGTTCGTTTCCTTCGCTTGTTTGCCTGTTCACTCGCTCGCTCGCTCGTTGATATTCGCTCAGGTGTTGCTAACTTTCTAAACTGAGTTACTCGACAATAAACCGTAGTTGCTGCTATCTTTTGTCTTGTGATTTTACGCACCGTTAAGACTAGAATTTTAACGGTTACCGAAGTAAACGATTAACGAATCACGGCACTACACACTAACACATAATTTGAAGCATTCCATCATGTGAATTTGACTTGCATAAAAATTATGATACATATTATCTTTGTTATTCATATTAGAATACACAGATAAATACGTATTGATTTGTGTAATTAACACATACGATTCATCTAGGCTTGATTCACCTGCAAAATAATCAGACGGAAAACATGCATCTTCTTCACACTCATCAAAATAATCTTGGACTTCATTTGGATTCTCTGCCTGTGAAAACTCCACATCTAGGCAAACTAGTTTTATGATTGCTCCAGGATTCCATTATAGGTGTTACTGGTAAAGAGTTGTCAAATTACAATACTGGTGGTATCTTCAGTCCACAGTAACTGTTTGTCTGTGGATATGATATTCTTAGAAAGGGTGTGAACATTGTACACGGTGATAGTTATTAGTATACTGTAAACGGTACATTGCCTACATGAGTGCAGGGACCCAAAGACTTAGGAGTACCAGCAATTCACTAATTAAAAACATCCAGGAATTGCAATGCAGCAGCTGCCAAAAGTTTTCGAGCATTATGGCCACTTCGCCCAGCATACAAGTCTGTTGACAAGGAGATGTTTCGAATTCTATATCCCACCTATGTGGGACCAAACCACGCAGCTGGTCCACGTCCTATTAATAATATTAACACAATCCAGCGTGTTCAGCATGTGGGCACAAAGCTGGCAAATGATCTTTCTAAATTCTTTTACGATGAGCGCCCAAATGATTTGCACCTTTTCCACTTATCGTAACGTGGGACTCGAGTTGACCTATTATTGGTATCCTATATCTTTAATAACTATTTGCTTGCTAATATGTCTTATCTTTTTGTTCCCTCCAGAACGAATCATTTCCAAGGCCTTAGCAAGGGGGTTCAATGACGACGATCTCATAAACTCAGGGTGGTATTCACGTTTTCTTATCTAGTAGTCAATGTCTGGGATGCTTTACCTTAACAAATCGTATCAGCCCTATAAATGAACATTTCAAGGAGGAGCTGAACCTTCAATGAAAAAAAACTGTAAATATTAACACAGGTCCACCAATCTACTTACCTTATTAATGAAGACTACAGGTTTTGGGTATTGGATATAGGTTAAATTTAAGAGGCGCAAAGGTTAATAGTGACGCTGTTCTTCGAAAACGTGGGATTAGGTCATCTATTGTTTCCTTAGAAATGGCTCGTGAAGTATGTGTTTTCATGCCTTATATGTATTGTATTATTTTGAAACTCGTCATGGAAGATGAGCATTTCGTTATGAATGAATAAATGATGTTGATATCCTTACACAGGATTGTTTCCTTAGTATAGCATAGAATTCACAGAATATAGTACCTCTACAAGTTCCTCTCAACCTTCTCATACGTATCGAGAGATATGTAAATGCACAAGAAAACTAATAAATAAAACTAGACGAGCTGTGTGTAAGAATATTAGAGTCCTTATAATAGTCGGTCAGTAGGTTCAAACATACGTTTTTGATCATGCATCTACACGTTTTTGCTCATTATTTGTGCCGAACACTGATTGTTTAGCTCTTGTACCTCTGTTCCCGTATATGGACTTCAAAGTACACACACGTCATTCTGCCTGAAGAAATACACAGAGAAATATGTGAATTTAGTAGATAATTAATATCTGGTAAAGTAACATGGTAGTTTTGTGTACAATTTCAAAGGCCTACCCACACTAGTGTCCGTAAAGCATGTACCTTACTAGTTGCCTTCAGTGTTTTCTTTGGCACCACAAAGTCTTTTCTCATAAGCTCGGGAAATAATAATGCTGAACGGGTATTGATATTCGTATTATACAAAAAAAATTGCATACCGTAAAATAAGATTCTAAATACTGTCAAAAACATGTTGCCTCTCTATCAAACAAGTTTAGTAAAAAATCTTCATTAGCATTATATATGTTATGTTGAGGTAATTTATTTTGTGGTTGATAAAGAAAAAGGGTGTGAAGTTCCTTTTAAGCCGTAGAATAATCCAACGCTCTTATTCAGTTTGAATATTTACTACTATTTCCTACTCTGAAACTAATTGTTGTTGTTACTTCGCCTTCAGCTCTTCTAGGGTTACTGCCGGTCCCAAGCCAGCGTAGAGGGTTGGTCATGAGGCCAACAACCCCATCTCGTAGAAAATAACCTTGCTAAAAAACGCTAACCATAATTAACAAATTGAACCATTTTAGCTCTACCGTGGGAGTTGAAGGATCTTCTTTCAGAAGAATTATGACGCTTCATGGCGAAAGCTAAAAATCTTCGGAAGTCACGAGTTCAATGCCCCTTCTAACAACCGGAGTAGCAATTAATATAGGTACATGTAATGTCTAGACAATGTGGAAGACCTGGAGGGCCAATCAAATAACTACGGAAATAAGGAAATACAACTTGACTGTGTTCGGAATCAGAGTGAAACCTACTGGACCCAAGTTAGACAGAAAAGGATAGATTCGGGAGAGATGCTGCTATACCCTGATCACAAAACAGAAAATGCTCCACACACTCAGGGAATCGCTTTAATGCTGTCTAAAGAAGCACGTAGGATGAGAATCTCGTGGGTCCAGAATCATCAAATTATCCTTCAAAGCAATGGAGGAAATTACAATAAATGTTATTTATTTATTTATTTTAACATAAATATTGGTACGAAGGGGCACGGAAATACAATGCGAAACAAATCACTTGATTTGTGTGTGTGCTGTTGTACTTTCCAGGTGCCCAAACCGAAACAGGTGGTTTTCTTAGAGTCACATCCGAAGTCTTCAACCTGATCCAAAAGGCAGTGGTGTGACGTCAGGAGGTACAGTCTTATGGTAGCCGGTGACCAACAGTAGGTTCATAAACCATTCGTTCTATCAAGATCCTGGAGCCCATGTGCACCAATGGTTTAGAATCAGGGTTTTCCAACTCCCCTAGGTGTATCTTCTGTATCCACCAACCCGTTTAAAGCGCTGGACATTCACTTTTCGTCCTCTCAATTTCGTAAACAACACCCCCGCCACGAGAAGACAGTGAGTAGGACTTCCATGCCAGTGGTTGTATGCATGTGGCCATATGAGAGCATTTCGAGAGAGTTGACTCTCTCCACCCTCGGCCGTACCAGGGCATTTGAGGACAATGAATGCTATCAAATGTTATGCACCCACCAATAATAGCACTAAAGACGTTGAAGATTAGTTTTACAAGAGGCTGCAGTCGATCATAGCGAAGTTCTCAGAAAACGTCCTGGCCATCCTGATGGGAGACCTAAACGCCAAAGTAGGAGTGGACAACACCGGATATGAAGGTATCATGGGAAGAAATAGATTGATTGAGAGAAAGAAGCGAAAATGGTGACAGATTTACAAATTTGTGTTTATTCAACAAAAGGGTTATAGATGGCACAATATTCCTACACAAACGCATACACAAAGCTACATAGGTCTCATCGAATCACAGTACAGAAAACCAGGTCGATCATATTTGCATGAGTAAGAAATTCAGAAGGACAATGAAAGATATGAGAACCAAGGGAGGAGCTGAAACAGCTTTAGATCACCGCTTGTTTATGACCGCGATAAAACCGAAGCTAAAGAAACGCTGAAAAACTGGAGTAACAGCATTACAAAGGTTTAACTAACGAACTCAAGGTAAATCTCAATGACAGGTTCCAAGTCTTACAGGATCTACTCAAAGAAGATGAAACTACCATGGAAGGCAACTGAAAAGAGATCGAAGAATCACTAACGTCAACATGTCAGGTGGTTCTGAACCGCCAGAAGTATTATAATAAGGAATGGATCTCTATGGAAACCCTGGACAAGATTGGAGTTAAAAAAACGAGAAGACAGCGATTAACACCAGCCAAACAGGAACAGGTCTACTGAGACCTCGTTCTAAACTGCACATTGGGTCCTTCAACTTATCCTGTGTCAAATCACCCAACAGGCCTCCATGGCTAAGACCCTAGAGTCTCATATGATTGGTGTATGTTGTCTCAGAAACACACATGCAGTATCCTAGTATGGTCATTCACCTGACCTCACCTAGCTTAAACGGGGAGTCAACGAGATACACCTTCCATGTATCTGGCCACCTGACTGCTAGATCGCGTGGACTGACGTGTGTGGGCATAGCACTAAGTTTGAGGTCAGGATAAGCTTTTTTACAATGGATCCCTGTTAACAGTCGCCTGTGTGTAGCATTTGACTTTGTAGACCGAGAGGTTCTGTGTCAGTGTCTGTCATTGAAAGGTGTACCTCAGAAGTATATAAACATTGTGAGGGCTCTCTACTCGAACACTACTAGTTGAGTCAGAGCTTATAACGAACTGTCATCTGATTCCACGACCTCAAGTGGTGTCCGTTAAAGTTGTCCACTGTCTTCATTTTTGTTCAATTTCATCATAGACCTACTGCTGGAAATAACGTTCTCATCGACTGAATTTTCTGGAATTGATCTCCTTCCAGGAGGTACACTTATTAACTTGAATGCGCAGATGTTATAGTTTTGTTTGGTGAAGGCTCTGACAAAATACTGTCTTCTGACCACCTTAAGCAACAATGCGAGCATGTTTGAGACACGCTTCTTTCCCTCTAAATCTAAATTGTCACTTCACGATTGGCTTGCGCCGACTCCTGAATTAGTGATAGGGAGGGAAGTAGTTGAACTCATTGACAACTCCACTTATCTTGGGAGTCTGATCAGTCCTGGTTGTCCGGTGTCTGACGAAATGTCGACGCGGATTTAGAAGTGTTGATTTGACTTTTACGTATGACCGACCACCACCTACGTCGATGGGCGATGTTTTCTGGTGTAGGAGTAAGTTGGAAGAATGCTAGGGGAGGCTAAACTAAGACATGGTATCAGTTCATAAAATCACCGACACTAGGACTGAGTCATGTCAATAGGTATACAGTACTTGGCTGGGGTCTGGGCGATTATCGTAACCAGTGGTTAGAGGCTGTGACATGGCTCAAAATCGCTTGGAATGGCATAGGTGCGTCTATTTTTTTGTCTTCTCTCGAATTGTAAGATCCTAAATTCCCCATAATTTTTTTGTTTTTATTTCACTACTTTATATTTTGCTTTCAAGTCGTATCCTCGATGCCTAATCTTTCCTATTACAACTGATACTGTTACTACCCCTACTATTCTGGGATTCGGCCTGACAACATGAATTGATATACATACGTACCAGGTTCTACATTATTACTGACTGACTAAACTTCTATTCATTCATTCAGTCAATCAGAATGGAGCCTGGGACAGTTGTACTTCAACCCATTAAAATCTCACTAAACACTTCACTGATCGGCCATCATCATGTTTAGGAAACATCACTAATTACATAGATTAAGTTCCAATAGTTTACTATCTCAATGATGTCAAAACACTAGTTTTAGTTTTTTATATCTTGTTCTTGTATGTTTTGTACTTTCAGTGGAGTATTGTTTCAACAGCTCTCGTGGAAGGTAGACATGAACTTGTGATTTCTGGAAAGGAGATTTCAGAAACGATCGAAACATTGGGGCTTGACCAAAGGATTTATGATCTAAAAAAGCTCAATTTTCTGGAAATTTCACATACTTGTTTAGAATTTCTGTCCGAAGATATATCGAAGCTTTCAAATCTTGCGCAACTATGCCTGACATCAAATATGCTAAAAGCTGTTCCAACTAATCTCGGATCTCTCCATTGTTTACGATCTTTAGACCTATCCTTTAATAACATTTCAATGATTCCTGACATTTTCGACCATTTGTCTAATCTATCTAGTCTTATTTTATCCGGTAATAAAATACAAAATATACCATCTGTTCAAGGGTTAAAGTCACTACATGAATTCTCAGCTTCTAAGAATCAATTAACTGTATGTTATCTCAGGTTTCTTTGTTGTTGACTATTTCGACTTTTAGTTACTTCCTGAAGGAATCCAGTTGCTAACTAATCTGGCAGTCTTGGATGTTTCATATAATAACATTTCTAATTTACCGAATGATTTATTTAACTTATCAAATCTCAAGAGTGCAAATTTTTCAGAAAACTCTTTAACTGATTTTCCAGCCAACATTCATCGTTGTCGCAAACTAAATGTTTTAAAGATTCATGGAAACCCTTTTAAAGATAATCGGTTGAAAAGGCTTTCTGTCGATGAACATTCACCAACTGCGCTTTTAGCTTATCTTCGTCGTTTGGACGAAACAGGAAGCAAAAAAGGAAAGAAAGTTAATGACAAAAATTCACCATCGAAAACTTCAACCGAAAATGAAGAAATGAATAATTCCATCGCTCGACCACCGGAAGTTACGGGAATTTCAACGCCGCATATTGTCATTCAGCGCCCAAATGAAAATGAAGTATGTTTTTCCCTACAATTCTGTCAGTATTTCGGTAAATTCTTGAGATTATTTCAATTTATGAATATCTGTTTCTAACTACTAAGCCATAATGTGAACTCAAATTCTGCTTAAAATTATTTACTCTAAAAACCTAACAGAAATCCCTATCACTAATGTTAAATTTCCAACGTATGCCCAATCACCGACTGCCCTGATGTGCAATGCTTTATGGTGTAGGAGCAGGTTGGAAGAAAGCTAGGGGCGGCCAGACCAAAACGTGGCACAAATTCATGAAGTCGCTGACAAGTGGACTGAGCCATGTTGGTAGGTGTAGACTACCTGGTTGGGATCCGCGAGATGATAGCAATCGATGGTTAGAGATCTTGAATGACATGGCTCAAAATCGTTTGCAATGGCGAAGGTGCATCCACTCTTTGTGTTCTACCAAATTCTAATCTTCTGAATTCTTCATGTCCGTATCCTTTTTCTCTTTCCAAATCTATTTCACCGTATTATACTCCTTGAATAACATCTTCAATCCCTTATCTTTCACATAATACTTATACTCTTACTACTTCTACCACTATGGGATTCGAATCGACAACTTCATCTCTGTGCTAATGTGGTATGGCAACTCGAACTGATGTACGTACGTACGAAGTTCTACGTTGTAACTGACTGACTGAAATTTCCAACGGATTTCTGAAAATTTTAAACTCAGTCCTGTCTAATCTGAATTTGTTGAGAGATCGCTTTTAATGAGTTCTTCCTAAAATTTCGTTTTTTTAAATGGTTGTGTTTTAGCTAGCTACATATTAATAAATCATATAATTAGAATTTCAGTATTAAGATTTTTTAAATATTGTACTCTACATTTTCAGTTAAATGGTTTACTTGATTCTTTCCGTTGAACGAAATGATAATTCGGTAAAGGAAAACAAGAGGTGAAGGTCGTACAGTCCATAAATAAACGAATAAAAATTATAGTTCAGTTTGAAATAGCCATGAAAAGTTTCTTTAGGTTGAAGGCAGTTCATTTGATTACCCTGATGAATGTAACAAAAAACAAAAATTTATAATACAAGTCTCAGATATACTTGATACATCGACACCAAATTTTTCAAAGAATCAGCCAAACCTATCTTTTTCCCACCCTGTTAATGTTGGAGGTGACAGGTTTCAGTTGTACACGTAGCTTCAGAAAAGTTGTACCAAATCTCGTCCGTTCTAACGGTAGTCATAAAATCGACTATTCGTTAACTTGGAACCGTTTAGAGACGACAGGGTTTTAAGAAAATACAATACCATGGTAGCCAGTGTCTAAAATAAGTTCTTATACAGTTTGTTTCACTAGAATTTTGAAGTCCATGGACACCGTTAGATTAGAATCATGGTTTTTCAACTTCTCTATGTGAATCTTTCGTGTGAACCATCAACACTGGATGTTTCCTTTTCGTCCTCTTAGTTTCTTAAAAACAATACGTGAATCTAATTAGTAGGACTTCTCTGTTTACAGGTAAAAACTCATGGTTATATGAAAGCATTTCTAGAGAGAGAGAGAGAGAGAGTGAGTGAGTATACGTAGTCATTCTATCAATTCTGTTCGCTTTTGTTACCCAACGCTATGATCATTATATGCACCTTTTGTCAATTTTTTTGTATGCTTTTGTGGAAGATTAACTGGAACTGTAAACTATTTTCCAACACTACTGAAGCCTAGACTTTCATATTAGTGTGGTGAATAACATTGTCACCAATAAGCTTACATTTGGTTAACCTTCAATCATTTTTAAATTAGATTTAAAGAATAATTATTTGATCACCTTGTCTATTGTTATTGTATTTGCTAATATTTCTAGGTTTGTGTAATTCGTCGTTATTATACTTTTTTTAAATACTTAAGGAATATCAAATTAATCAGACTCGCTCAGTAAAAACTGGCCCACGTCCTTACATAGTTGCCTGTACGGTTCATGGTGTAGAATTTCCTTCTGAAACAAAACTGAGAGCTTTTCTACGAGCTCAAGAAAACTGGCATCGTGATATTGGCCAAATGCGTCATCATGCAACTTTAGCTACTCATGATTTACAACTAATCCGTTTTCCACTTGCTTACACTTTAAAAGAAGCAAAGTCATTTCTAGTAAGTTTTCCTTGTAAATATTATTTTATTACTTCTAATAATTTTTATTTCTAGTTAGCATAATGAGTGTTATATACTTTTTTCCTTTTTTTGTAAAAATGAATTCCTCTAAAAACCTTTTTAAATGTAAAAAAATATCATCATTCTAGGGAATGATAGAAGTGCTTCATATGAACAAGTATTTGCAAAAGTAATCTTGACAAAAGATAGACGAATGAGCAAAAAATAATGTTGAGTTTGAAATAAGTTCCCTAATATAAGCTGCCGAGTTTCAAAACAACACATCAATAGGGAAGTAGAGAGGTAAAAGTACATAACAAGTATGTGAATTAAATTAGTACCAGGAGTAGTAAATAAGTAAATGAGAAAGATTTTAAAAAATAACGATTCGAACGATAAAGGGTGGTACATAATTCCAATGTGATTTAAGTCAAATGCATTGGCTAGAGCGTGTCAGCTTCATGTGCCTGCAGCTCTACGCAACTTTATCCAACAGTCCTAAGTATTTAGAAGATATCACATTACGCAAGGAAATGAGTTCAGTGAGAGTTAGATTGGTTCACTCCTAGTGTAAATGGTATTAGTTGAAGATATCATGATAAGGCTTTTAAAATAGGTTTCGTGATTTTTTGGACCAGATATTTTTCAATTTTGATGCAATATTCTCAGGTAAGTAATGGTTGCTATTGCTACGGTAAATGTTAATTTACACGAAAGCTGAAGCAACAATATCAGGTAACAATAGGGAGCGATAGAAACTCATTTGAAACGTCCTCATTTTTGCTCAGGATATCCACAACAAATGGTAAATTTTATCATCGAGCTACTAGGTTACAAACACTGATTCAACTTTTACTCAATAAATGTCGTAAATAACTCTCCGTAATTCATACTTGTTTACTCTTAAACATTTAATCGTTTTAAAGTTTCTGAAATTCCATTTTGATTTATGAACTATATTTATTCGTTATAAGGATTCCGTTTTTTGAAGATTATTTTTGTCACATGTAATTTTACGCTGGATAAAAGGTTACAAACGCTAAGCTTACTTACGTATGTTACCCCCAATGGAGCATAGGTCAACGACCAGCTTTCTCAAACCCACTCTGTCCTGGGCCCTTCTTTCTAGCTCTATCCAGTTTTTGTTCATTCTTCTCATGTCTGTCTCCATTTCTCGGTGTAATGTGTTCTTTGGTCTTCCTCTTGTCCTTTTGCCTTGAGGATTCCATGTGAGGGCTTGCCTCGTGACGCAGTTGGCTGCTTTCCTCAAAGTGTGTCCTATCCACTTCCAGCGCTTCTTCCTGATTTCTTCCTCCACTAAAGTCTGGTTTTTTCTCTCCCACAGTAGGTTGTTGCTGGTAATGCCTGGTCACCGGACCCGAAGTATTTTGCGTAGACATCTGTTAATAAACACCTGTATCTTGTCGATGATGGCTTTCGTAGTTCTCCACGTCTCCACCCCATACAGTAGAACTGTCTTGACATTTGTATTGAAAATTCTAATCATGGTGTTGGTTGACAATTGTTTTGAGTTCTAAATGTTTTTAAGTTGTAAATATGCTGCTCTTGCTTTGCCGATCCGCGTCTTCACATCTTCATCAGATGCACGGTGTTCATCAATGATGCTGCCCAGATATGTAAAGATTTTTACATCCTTCAAAGCTTCTTCGTCAAGTGTGATTCGATTGGTGCATACTGTTTTGTATCGGAGAATCTTGCTCTTCCCTTTGTGTATATTGAAACCTACTGCTGCTACACTTGTCGTCTTCTGAATTTGTTGTTGCGTGTGTGATAAAAGAGCTAGATCATATGCGAAGTCTAAATCGTCCAGCTGCTTCCTAGCTGTCCACTGTATCCTGTGCTTCCCTCCAGATGTTGACATCTTCATAATCCAGTTGATCACCAGGAGAAAGAGTAAGGTTGAGAGTAAGCAACCTTGCCTAACACCGGTCCTTACCTCGAATGAGTCTGTCAACTGTCCTCCATGCACGATTTTGCAGTTTATTCCATCATAGAATTCCGTATGAGTACTGATATCAAAATTTTGTTGATTCAAACAGTCTGTTCTCCGTTACAATTGTTTTGTATCGTTTAAAGTATAAGAGTTTGAATGCATTTGTTTGAAGTTTACCAGCTGATTTTCTTTTGTATATCACCAATACTTACATTAGAACATTTCTCATAAAGTCCAATACATAAACCTGTATTTGATTTTGATAGGGTACATTAATTTTATTAACAGTATATCTATCAATAATAGTTGTGAACGTTTATTAAAATTGTATTCAGGCATTATAGTATATGCCATTAATTTCAACATGTTTACATATATGAATATAATCTTGTGTATACATTTTTGTTTTTTCTAACAGATTCATCCGTTAAATAGATCTATTAATAGTACTGGTGAAGCATTTTTGAGACAATTAGTTCAAGAAGCACAGTTGGATAGAAAATCTCGTAAACAAACAAGATTTAGTCAAGTTTATCGTTATTTGAATGTATTGGATATCGAAAGTGCAATGGTTTCAAATGTATTCAGTGATGTAATGGTTCCTATTGTTGTGGATAGTACACCAGTGGTCATCTCAGTTCCTCCACTTACCAATAGTCATCACACACGGGTGGGTTATTACTGTCGTTTTTATAGATTGCTCATAAGTAATAATCACCTTGGAGATTACCAAAGTTGAATTTATTTTGTGTCATAATTATAATGAGTGTGTGTAAACAATGGTCTCTCACATCGGGTAACATAAATATCTAGGTTAACCTTTTTAACAGTCCTACTCTATTATTTTCTACTCTGGCTCGTTTTGTTCTCAACAGCTGTACAGTATCATTGACTTTTACTCAGTGTTACCTGAAACTATCATCATTAACCCGTGTAATAAGTCAGACAGAGTTACATCAAAGTCGATCCTATCTGAAATGTATAATAGGTAGTAAGGCTAATTGGACTACATAAATAATGTTATTTCAAGGTAGAAATACTGTTTTGAAGTATTGTATTGCGAACAGGTTTATGGATCGTCGAAATGAAAGGAAAGCATGTTGATGGTTCTCTGAAATTTGTTAGTAAAAGGTAACTAACAACAGTGAAATATTACCGTCTAATATTTATTCCTGCTCTTTGCATGTACATGGACCAATCTACTTCTTATTAACACTTTCAAGGTATATTGGTGATTGATACAATACATAGATGTTGAGTCTAAAGGACTGGTAGCCAATCATAATTTGCTTTTCGAAGCAATGCATTATACAATAAATACTCAAACAACTAGATCAATATATTTTTTGACATTTCTACAGGTCAAAACAGTTATAAACTGTAAGCTGAAACAATTCGGTTTTCTTATTGTTGTAGAGTAAAAATTTGATTATGAATGCAACTATCGTACTTAAGTTAGATGACCGAAAATAATCGTAACACTGGTTCAAGATACTTTTTCCTTGCAAATAATACCCAGAACCCAACATTAGTGCTTACGCGATAAGACAAATTCATGAGGGCATCAATAACCAAACATAACCAATTGTTCCTCTTAGCATCGAACAGATGTTATTAATGTTACTGAGAAAATTTAACAAATATTACAGTAGCGCGCTATGCACACATTCTATTTTTGTGGGTTATTGTAATTTGTCTGACTACCATCTTCCGTAACAATGACTTAATTGATTAATAAGATCCTCAAATTATTCATATCATCTTTGTTTTCCAGGTTGTTGTTATAGTTGTGGTTACTTCTGCTAGACAGATATAGATCATGCCTAGACTCATGTTGTATTATCTATTGTTATGCTTCTTACTCAGTGTTCTCTTCTTATATTTATAGTTAACTGTAAACACACATAATATACTGATTGAAGTTTCCGGAATCAATTTACCTTTATGCAAACAATTTGCTGAAGTAGTCATCGCTTGGCTATTAGAAAATGCTTGCCCACAAACAAGGGAGAATAAACCCAGTGACAAACCAAACACCGAGGAAGTTAATACAGCAGAACAATCACAGCTTGTTGACGAAGTGGATAGAAAGTTAACACTAAAGTCGGTTGTCGTTCCACCTAACTCTCTTGTGGTACGTCCAATTCGTGTTGTCGATGTTGATTTCGATTACAATCTATGTGTCATGTTTCCATCACGATCAGATTTAACTGATGCAAAGTTTAATACCATTCGTTAGATATATTATTCTTATTACTCATATGTTATCAGAAACGAATTTATGTCTATATAGATACTTAACAGAGTGAAATAATTATTTTTAACTTTTATTCATGAATGCTAATAAGTTTTCTGTTGTGATACGTTTCTTTTATTACCATTAACCGTCGTCATCGTCATTGTTACTGGATCATGTTTCTCATTTAAAAGCAATAAACATGTTTTAATGTATGTCCGTTCGCTATTTTGTAAATTTGATTCTTTATTCTATTCATAACGTCTTTATCATGGTTAAGGAGACATTATAACTACTGTTCTTCGTGTGGAATTAGAGAATCGAAAAAAGTAAAATAAAAGAATTTTTGGTTTATCACTTATCTGACTGTTTTTTTCTTCTGACAAAAATTTCAGAGTATTCATCTATTAATTTAACAATATTTGGTGACTGAAAGAAAATCATCAGTATAACAGTGTAATCATGCATGTAGTTTTATGTATGGGGTTCTGAGCTTCACATGTTGTAAGAAGTTTAACAATGATATTTATAACCATTGATTGGCTGTATAGGATTACTGAATAAAGTGAAATTCGCCTCATTTATTATTTTATTTATTTAAACACATATATATTGGTACAAAGGGGCACCAGGTACATATGCGCCACACAAAATAATGAAAGTAGGAAGAGAAGGGATAAAAAGATAAGGCGGACTAAAATGTACAACCAGAAGACTCTTTCAAATAGGAAAGTAAGAACCATACTTTATGTAGAAAGTAAAAGAAGGTTGCAGCAGGATCGCCACTGGCTTCGATTCTGAGCCATATCTGATAACGTCTCTAGCCACTGTGTTGCACCATCTCTCGGACCCCAACCAAGGAGTCGTGAAGGACCAACAGAAGCTAGCCCTTTGCAGCTCTCTTTCATGCCACGACACCATGTCATACACTGACCTCCTCTCCGCTTTCTCCAACCAGTCCCAGGGTCGGCAAATAATGCACGACGTGGAAGTCTCTGGGACGACATTCGTAAAACATGTCCAAGCCACCGAAGTCGGTGTTTCAAGATGGTGACACCAATTGAATTATCGTCTCTGCGCCCGAACACACGATGCCGAACCTCTGCATTACTAACATGGTGTTGCCACTGGATGTCAGCAATCCTTCGGAGACAACGATGATCGAACACAGAGAGACGTCTAACATCCTCAACTCGGAGAGGCCAGGTTTCACAAGCATAGAGCAAAACTGCTCTCACCGACGCGTTGTAGATCCGACCTTTTGCAGCCAGACTAACATCACGAAGGCGCCAAAGATGGCCCAGATTGGCATAAGCCGCTCTGGCTTTCATTATACGTGCATCAATCTCATCACTCACGCCACCACCAGCACTTATATAGCTACCTAGATACACGAACTTCTCAACTACTTCAATCTCCTCACCATCCAGGGTGAGTACAGAATGAGAATCCTGCCAGTCTTGTAGGAGTGCTTTGCACTTGGAGGGTGCAAAGCACATGCCGTACCTGCGGACACTGATTGCCAACTGATTAAGTGCTGATTGCATGCCTTGGGCATTATCGCACAGTAAGACAATATCATCCGTACACTCAAGGTCGAGAAGTCGTTCTCCAGGCAACATATCCACACCGCCATTACTCACATCCATCAGAGCTGTTTCCAGGATGTCGTCGATGGCAAAGTTGAAGAGGAATGGTGAGATCGGGCAACCCTGTCTAACCCTACTGCTCGAATGGAACAAGGGAGAAAGGTGGTTGTATGCCCTTACTCTGCCTGAGGTGTTCGTATACAGGGCCTTTAAGATGTTAATGAACTTCTCAGGCACACCCTTCTTCAACAGACAATCCCAGAGAACAGTCCTGTCCAACGAATCGAAGGTCGCCCTGATATCAAGAAACACTACGATTGTTGGCCTGCGATAAGTATGACGGTGTTCTAACATTTGGCGGAGGGTGAAGATGTGATCAATGCATCCTCGACCAGAACGAAAACCAGCCTGCTCCTCGCGAGTCAATCGTTCTCGGGTTTTAAACAACCTACGAAGAATGATAGAAGCCAATAGTTTGGACGCAATCGGAAGTAGACTTATCCCCCGATAGTTATTGCAGGAACAACGTGAACCCTTTTTAAAGATAGGGACGACTATGGACTCATTCCAAGATGTTGGAACACTTTCTTGTTCCAAAACCTTTCCAAACAACACAGTCATTTCCTTAGTCAGAAGGTCACCACCATCTTTAAAAAGAGCCGGAGGTAAGTCATCTGGGTCAGGTGATTTGTAACGTTTCAAGAGTTGGAGATCCTTGCGGACTTCCGCCTCGTTTGGTGGATCAGTTGTCACCGGCCATGGGGGGCAGGACAAGCTGGTTGATGTTGCCGGAGCAGCAGGCCAGTTGAACTGCCCTTCGAAGAATTCCGCCCATCGTCCAAGACGTCGAGAGATGTTAGTGATTGGCATCCCATCATCCTCGTAGATTGTTTCACTCACACCAGACTTCTTGCTGCCAGTGGCTCGGATGAGTTGGAAGAGCTTCCGGCAGTTACCAGATGCAGCTGCTGCTTCCATCTCATTAGCACGCTCCGACCACCAGGCTTCTCGGTCCTTACGCAAGCTTTGCCCGATTTCATTACGTAACAGCCTTCGTTTGTGGTCAAACTCACGGTCACCCGGAGTAGACCGACGGGCTTCGATCAGTTGTAAGGAGCCAGAAGAGACCCAGTGCTTGTAAGCGGGACGTTTCGCGAAGCCGCAAGCGGCTTTACTCGCCATTTTCATGGCGTCGTGAAGAAGCAACCAATGCTCATCTATACTTTTCGGTGGGGTGGTAGCTAGCCTATAGGCTAGCTCCGCTCGATACTTACTTGCAACAGAAGTTGCAGCCAGTTTACTAACATCAATCCGTTGGTGGTGGTCAATCCTTCGGCCACTAAAAAGTAAGGTGAGATTGGCGCAGACCAGGGCATGATCAGACTCCAGATAGGTACTCCAAAAGGAGCGGCAGTCTTGTACACAACCACGCCAGCGGTAGCTGATCGCGATGTGATCAATCTGAGTCCAGGCTTGGGATGCAGAGGGAGGACGCCAGGTGGCACACCGGCGATGACTGTGCCGGAAGTTAGTGCTGGCCAGAAACAGGTTGTGGTCTGTGCACAGTTGCAGCAAACGGTCCCCGTTATCTGTCCGGCGACCAACAAGTCCCCATCGGCCACCTAGACAACTCTCTTCTGTGCCTAGACGCCCGACCTGTGCATTCAAGTCTCCGGCTAGTACTACAATATCTGTCGAACGCGCTTTCTGGAGAAGAACTGTTAACTGATGGTAAAACTCATCCTTGATTGCATCCGGGCTGCAATCTGTCGGGGCATAGGCGGAGATGACGAAAAGACACCGTTTCTCACGCCGATTTCTTCTCACTTTGATAGAACTTTCTAATCTAACAGCACATAACCAACTGTTAATGGGGATCCAATCGATTAGTGCTGCCTCAGCTCTAGCACTTAGTGCGACACCAACGCCAGCAAGACCAGACGAAGATGCCACAGGGTCCCCGGATAAGCGCTAAGGTATTTTTTCAGTAAAAATGACTATATACCTGCAACACTCACTTTTATTTTTAATGTAAAATATCTTCTTACCAATTTAAATGCTATTGACTGACATAAACTGTATAAAATCACTGAAACTCAGTGAGCAATGAAAAGCTGTATTCAGTTCACGACATCTATAGTTGAATTATAGACTGAATGTTTTTGAATTGCTTATCAATTAGCGAGTAGAAAGTATCTTACCAATCATGAATCCTAAAATTGAGTGGTACTAATATGGTGCTTCCTTACCTTTATCAGTATTAAGTTTCCTCAATTTAATTGAATTTTGGCATGATACATTAATCAAGCGTTAACCATTGATGTGATTGTTACTATTGTCGGTGAAATAATAAATAAGTTTCCAGTTTACACTTAAATGTTAACAGCCATGTTAATGATTTAAATATTTAGTTAGTAATTAAAGGTAGTTATTTAGTTTTAAACAAATAGAGAATTCATTATTTACATGTTTAGTGTCCCTAAACTTAGATTCGTTCATTCAACTAGACTGGCTTACTATATATGCACTTAACTCATTCTCCCTAAATTATTCAGACCACATATGGAATGTTGTTCAGTTTTGTGAAAATGATATCATTTCAAGTATTGACTAACCATAGATGGTTTTAGAAATATTTTAGCTTTCTGTATGGAAATACTGAACTGTTGCTTTTAATAATAACCTCCATTTTGCTACTGACAGCTTGAATCGATTTAATATTGTATATACTCTGTTCTGTGTAAATTATGTTGCTCATATCCTTTCTGTTTTGCTGTAGTTAAGTTTGAGTTTCATGCTATATATAACCAGTGATAAACTATTGTTATCTCAATCACATGATAATCTGGCTGATTAAATGTATTGAAATCAATTTATTTGATTTAAAGTTAGTTCGTTAATTGATTTTTATTCTATATTGATTATTTATTGAAGGTTAAGTTATTAATATACAATATTCGTTATTGAAATAAAAAGGAAAGTAATATTTTACAAAGTTGTGATTAAGTTTTACATATCTACCCTTATTCATAAATGGCAATACACGTAGTTGTAAACCAACCGGAATGTCTAGAAGTAAAACCATGTAACAATGAGTATAAAAATCTGAAACAACATGATGTTCAGTTAGATATAGTACCATGGATTCAGTCATCTAACAATGCGCATAGTTATGTTCAAAAAAGTGATATGGATTATGATAGTGATGATGACCATGGCGATAATTGTAATGACGTTCATTCAGTTTCTTCAGAATCTCATTCCTATAATCTGCGTTGTTGTTTACTGTCAGCATGTTGTGAATCTTGTACATGTTTTACAATGCCGAAAAAGTGTGATACTATTTATTATGCACTACAAAAATGTACAAAATATTGTCCAAGTGGTTGTCCTACTATAGTCCCAAGACCGGAAGAAGAAGAATGGAATTTAGCACCACAGAAAAATGCACGTAATTTTGCAATGTGTCAGTGTTGTTATTCTCCGGGTGGTATAATATGCATGAAGTACTTGGATATATTATGCTGTCCATTATGTCCAATGTGGGATGTATGTAAAGGATGTGATTATGGTTATCGACGCTTTCGAATACAAGTCATCTTAGATCGTTATAAAGATTCGCACAAACGGAGATATATACCGTGTGTATAAAATGAAAATGCTTGCCAGTATACTACCTTTTTTAAATAAAAAACAAATAATTGTAAGTTGTTTTCTTTCAGTATATTGTAAAGAATGAGTTTTCATGTTAATAGGTTCACTGAAGTCAATCTTAGACCTGAGGCTTGTTCAGATTTCTCAATTAGGAAGTAAGACAGTCATAATGAAAAAGCGACCGTAAAACCAAGCCTCATGGGTTGCATTTATCGGGATTTAATAACCTAATAGTGCACTTCTTGGTTGGTCGCGGACATCCTGATGCACATACATTTTAATGAATGTTAACTCATCGTCAATAGTCATCGTTTCGAACTTGGACTAAAAAGCAATGAGGTTCCATACCAACTGAACAACTTATCAGTTATAGGTTAGAAGAAAGTTAAGAGTGACCAATCTAGGATGTAGCATCAGTCAATGAAGTTCTTTATGGTCGGACTGAGTAGTATTGATAGGTATGGACTATGTTTGCGTTGGCTTGTTTATTGTAGCCAGTAGCCGGGGACAGGTAACGTAGCTCAGAGTTTGTTGTAGTATTGCATTTCTATTCACTCTTTGTCTTCCCTTTGATCTTGGATTCATGAATTAATGCTTTCTTTTCAGATCACAGTATCTACCCCTAATGTTTCTACTACCACTGATACTGTTATTACTTCTACTACTCTTGGATTCGTCTTCATAATACCATCACGATATAGTGCATCAAATTGAAACGATGCACATATGTCTTAGGTTGTTTATTGATTACGATTAATTGTGAGGGGATCGGAATGGCTCACTTTATGTGGAATTTTTCGCAAATGATTGTGTGTGAAAATACTATGAACGACTCAGAATTAAAGCCATCTAAATTATAGAATGAAATACAATTCGGATCCTCTTTCTGAGGGTTCAATGTAATTATATTACGTACTTCTGTGAAAAGCGTATTGTTAGCAAACTATATAGCTTGTTAAATTCACACATCGGGAAATAATTAAATCGAAAAATGCTAAATGCAATAAGGTTAAATAAAATCTGTCAAAAATGTAGTTATGTAGGCCAAACAGCGTTATTTTCTGAACGAACAACTTAATTTTTCAAACTTTATCATGTTAGTAGTAGTATAAAATAATCCACACATATTTACGATTATGTAAACAAGAACCCATATACAAACGGTACGTGTTAAATGGAGTAGGTATTTTTTATTTCAAAGCTGCGAATGATACTTCGAAACTCCTGGAGTTTTTCCATTATTAACGCCAATTAAATAACAGGGTCATTTTTAACGGCATATAGAATGAATTAGAGAGTGTTCCGTCCAGGATTGTGTTGGGGCACATTAATTGACTAAGAATTAATCAATCAACGGATACCTGGAGAAGGCTCTAGAATCTCCTTGTATAAAATTATAAATATACTAACGTTTTTCTCACTATGATCTCTACTTTCATTCAACTTTATTTGTTTGGAATATAATTGCGTTCCTGTTCAACGGTGTTCTGACTGGGGACTTATAGAGTGTGGTAAAGTTTCCAAAGAATACCAAAGTAATAAGAGTAGCTGGGTTGTAACAAGGAAGATCATAACAGGCATAGTAATATAATACGTATCTTCCAGTGAATACGTAAAACGTAATTATATGCCAAACAAACAAAGTTGAATAGAAGCAGGAATCATAATAAGAAAAACGTTAGTATATATATATATATATATATATATATATATATATAGTTGACGTAGTTTTCGGACTGCAACTAACGGTTGGCTGTTCCATGAAAACAATTTCTGACCCCGTATTGTATGCATCAACTACCAAAAGGTAAGTTTGTTTAGGAAGTGGACGGGCAAAGTCCAAGTTTATACGCTGCCACGGTGACTGTGGTATTAGCTATGGTTGCAGCTCTGCTTTCGTTGCTAATACGCATCTGGTACGCGAACAGGATAGCTACCTCAGTTGAGTGTCTAAATGCGGCTAGTTTACATAACTTCTTGCTAGTGCTTTCGTGAGATTTATTCCAGGATGTTCTGCATGCGACTGCTCAAACACTATTTCTTGCAGCTTCTTTAGGATTATGACGCGTTTGGAAAACAGAACACAGTCATTGGTGATTGAGAGAGATAGTCTGCGCTGATAAAACCGCTGAAGCTCTGTGGAGATGATCTTGGAGGCCTACATTTCTAGATGGAACTTTTTAACTTCTTTTAGGACTAGGTCTCGAAGAGTTTCTTCCCTAACTTCATCTGATGACAATGAAGTATTTGAAAAGGCATCTTCTAATCACGTCTTGTTTCTGAATCTACAGCTATTCAGACGAAAATCACGTCCTCCGACCCAAGGTGTTGAACTCAAATCAACTGAGAAAGAGCGCTGACTTGACTGATGGTGTTTGTTGACCAATACTTGATGTTGAAATCATAGCTCAGAAGCATTGCTGTCCAAGACTTTGATCTGTTACTCGTATAGACAGGGGTTCCTTTCCTAAAACCGAAAATTGCAATGAAAGTTTTTTGGTCTATTAGTACAGTTAATGTACGGCCATAGAGCATTTTGCGGAATTTTTTGACGTCAGAAATTATTGAAGGACCTCTTTTCCGATCTGGCTTCAGTTCTGCTCGGCTAAATGGTGCACATGGGCTCTATATCCTGAGGAAAAAAATGGCGTATGAACCAATCGTTGGTCACCCGCTACCATGGGACTGCATCTCTTCACGATGCTCCACTGCCTTGTGGATCAGATCTTTCGGTCAAAGGTTCCGCGTGTGACCCCTGAGAAAACCACCTGCTTCGGTTTGGGCACCAGTGCAGTATCACAGCCCTCACACAAATCAAATAAGATTTGTGTGGCGCATATGTATCTGATGCCTCGTTGTACCAATATTTATGTGTTCAAATAAATAAATCTGCTCGGCTAGGGTATGTGGTCTAGCAGCATGAGCATTTGTCTTTCTTGTTTTGTCCGTAAATACATGATATATTATTGTTCCAACTCCATAGCCCGAGGTATCAGATGCAACAACAATTCCCAAGCGGGAGTCGAAGCGTGTTAAGAGAGAAGCTTCAAGCTGAACATTAATTTGACTTTGTTGAAAGATGCTTGATAATCTTCTGACTACTTCCAAGGTTTGTCTTTTGATGGTAATTCATTCAGCGGACCTCTCACTATGAATTTCGGGCAGAAACCTTTTGTAATAACTAGTTAGTCCCCACAAGGATCTTAATTGAATGAACATCCGTCGGTCCAGGTATCTTCTGAATGACTTCTATGTTTTCTGGGTCTGGTCGACGACCGTTCTTATTTAAGATTAAACCAAAGTATTTGATCGAATGAATGAAAACCACATTCCACCACTTGGTTATGAACTTGATTTAGTCTATCAGAAATTTCAGTCAATTGAACCTACAACAACGGTATCATCTAAATAACTTTATGTTCCAGTTATACCTCCTTCAATACAATATGCATCCCGCTAATGCGTAGTTAAATATAAGGGTAGAGAATTCCGCCTCCAATTCTATAAAGAAGTCAAGTCTTCGATGCTCTAAACTAACAGAGAAACTTTTCATTTTGAAAACTTGACCATAGTTAAAAAAGAGTTATTAATAAGTTACCTCTAATAAGTCGAAAAACACTATTTGTCTAAAAATGTGATGGGCTGATTTATTGTCTGAGTAAGAAATTTAATAAAATCCTATTTCAGGTGTATTTTAATTTGTTCTCATCTCTCTAAGTTACTCTTACTATAATATGTTAATTCTTAATTGTTATCTTAACGTTATCTACTGATAAATTTGATTCCGTTTTGGATGCTGCAGAATATATACAAATTCCATTGTTATGTGTAAATTGCCGAAGCACTTGATTGATTAATTTAATTGTTTACTACTAAACCAGATAATAACAACCTATTGTTACAGGGACATATTTTGATAGTTCATATTGGTAAAATACCTTTTTCAGATTTCTAGTTAGCTCTGATGTTGCACGTATTGGAATTACTACTATACTTTGGTGTTTAGTTACTGGATACCGGAATCAATGGTAAAACAACCCGTTCGAAAGTATATACAATAAGCATAAATATGTGAGAAAGTCAAAATTTCATCGAAGTTCTTTGATCTATTGACTTCATAAACTGGTAATAAAACAGAAAGAAATCAACTTACCAATACCATATATAAACTTTATAAAATCTTGAATTTAAGAAAATAGTATCCAAGTGATTTAAAACGAAAAAGTTTTTAATTCTTTTAAAGAATATTTATAATTTTAAAAATCACTTTTCTATCTTCTCTTCTAATAGAATCACATCTAAGATTCGTATACAATATTCAAGAAACGTTGACCATGGTGACACTTTAGGAGGAAACCGAAAGAGGAAGTTTAGTGTTAAAAGTTGAGGTAGAAGGAATAGTAGGAAGTGAGGAAGGAGATTGATTATGAATACAGTGATATTGAGTGATGTTAGAGGTATGAGGGCAGTTATCACTTCCCGGCTGCCCACACCGTGGAAGGGTTCTTCTAGAGGTATCTGAAAAGGAAATTGGGTTAGAAGTGGTCTTAATGACCGGAGAGCGTGACCGCAGTGCCCAAGGGACAAATGCTTGAGGTCGGTCACACTCGACCTTTTTGTGAGTGGCTTTCATGTTAGCTCTGTACTTGTTGGGATCTTACCGCCGGAGACGGATATCCGTGGGATAAGGCGAGGTGTGCATTTTCAGGGTCAACCTTTTCTAACCCCACCCCTCCTTGTGGGAAGGCGGCATCGCTGTCATGCTGGTTGTCTGAAGGAAACACCTTACTGCTGTCACACCTCTGTACAGTCAGCAGTACGACTTCACCTTCGGACCTTGGGTTTGCTGCTTTTAGTCTCACCGCTCTTCAACCGACCTGCCTGGCATTGTAGGACCTTGAGGAACGATTGTTCCAGCCAGTGAAGCTCGATAGGTTCATCACGATAGGCAAGCTCGACCATCACGTCAAGGTAGCAGCAACGGTCGGGTCTGACAA